GGGGTGGGGGAATGGGTTAGCCTGGTGATGGGTATTAAAGAGGGCACGTTCTGCATGGAGCACTGCATGTTATATGCAAACAATGAATCATGGAAACTACATCAAAAACTAATGATGTACTGTATGGTGACTAACATAACATAATAAAAAAAGTAATAATAAAAATAAATAAAAAATAAATAAAATCCCTGTTGTTAATGATCCCCTTGGGGCCCATGAACAATGCTGACTTCTCAGTTTCCTTTGTGGGTGCAGCTATCTGGGGATGGGCCAAGTTGTCCTAGGACCTGCGCCCCTCCCAGGACGGGTACAGGGACCTGTGCTGTCCAGAACAGTAGCCAGGGGCCACCTGTGGGGGTTGAAGCTTAAACTAAATAAAATGTAAAATGGAGCTCCTGAATTACATTAGGGGCCTTTCAATGCTGGGTACCACACATGGCTGGTGGCTGCCGAATTGGACAGAGCAGACATAGAACTCTTCTGTCATCCCCGTAAGTTTGATTGGCTCATCTTTGTGCATCGATACTTGCAATAGACAGTGGCACTGGGGATGGGGATTAAGGAGGGTGCGTGTTGTGATGAGGACTGGGTGTTGTATGTAAGTGAGGAATCACTGAATTCTACTCCAGAAACCAATATCGCACTGTCTGTTCACTACCTAAAATTTAAATTAAAAAAAAAGAAAGAAGAAAGAAAGAAAGAAAGAAAGAAAGAAAGAAAGAAAGAAAGAAAGAAAGAAAGAAAGAAAGAAAGAAAGAAAGAAAGAAAGAGGCACACTCTGGGTGAGCCATGGAGGGAGGAGTCTAAACCACCTGGGGCAGGGGTAGGGATGGGGAAGGCAGTGGAGAAAGGACCGAGCAGGACCGAGCCCAAACTTCACCTTGACCTCACCTTCAGTGTTGTTGGTGCTCCCTAGGTCTGAGGCCCCCTGCTTCTCTTTCCGCATGTTTCCCTGAGTCATCTCTTCTACTCCATGGCTTTAGTGACCACGGTCCTCAGAGATGCTCAGCCAGGCTGTGTTTGTACAGTTCAGTGGATCTCAAAAGACATTAGATCCCCTTCAAGGGCTTCATAAAAGACAGGCTCTGGCCCTTCCTTTCCAGTTTCTGATCAGCAGGCCCAGAGATGGGGCCATAAAAGTTGCATTTCAAACAAAGCCCCAGGTGACAGGTGCCCCTGAGGCTGCTGGTCCAGGAACCACACTCGGAGGATCCTTGGTATGGTCTAAAGAATACCAACCACTGATTCATTCATTCCACAAATATTCATGCAATGCTACCATGTGCCAGGGGCTCCTAGATGTGAACAAACCAGGCAAGTTCCCTGTGCTAGGGGGCTTACATTCGAGCGTGGGGAGACAACCAGTAAACAAAGCTATGTCGAGGGGTGATGAGCATTATAAAGAACAAAGCAGGGTGAGAGAAGAGGGCTATTTTATGGGGTCATCAGGAAAGGCCTCACTGACCAGGAGACATTTGAGCAATGACCTCAAGAAAGCAAGGGAGGGGCAAGGATATGACCCTGGCCTTTCTGGCCCCATCTTCAGCTTTTTAATTAGAAAAATATGACTCATGGTTAACATGCTTAACAATCAAGGTCATCAGTCTCTGTGATAGCTAGGTTTGGAGACAAATTTGATTGTGTGTGTGTGTGTACATTTTGTTAAAAAGAAGCCTAATGCTAAAGGCCATAGATTCCATCCGGGCCGGCAGCTCCACCTCTGGGCCTCCTCTGTCCACACCGCTCTCTGCAAGGAGAGGGGTCCCGAGGGTTAAGGGGACTACCGTAGAGCCCGTATCCCACCTCTAGACAATGCCTCAGGGTTCCCAGTCCAGATGGCTCCAGCCCATTTCTAGGGCCGGCAGGCCTCTTCCCTGCCCTACCCCCACCCAGGCCAAAAGACGAATAAGGATGGGGTGGGGTGGCTGGGACCTGGGATGTCCATACGTAAGCATCTGAGGGTCCTACTGATAAGGGATAGAACTACCGTGGGAGGAGAGGGCTCTATTTGCCTTCTGGTCCTGGGTTCTGCAAACATCAGGAGCAGACCAGTCAGCCTCAACAAATTAGCGGAACGCTCCTTACCTCTGTCCAGCTTTGGGGTCCAGACAGAAGAGTGTAGGTCAATCAACATTTGTCAACTGTTGCTGGAGGAATAAGCAACTGTTTAGGGCCCATGAGTCAGTAGTGGTCTCTGCATACATGAGGAATGGGGGCATGGGGGAACCGGCCCAGCCCCTCACCTACACGCACCAGCCTTGCTGGTGAAGAACAAACTGTATGCTGTTCACCCCTAATTTGCCTTTTCAACACACGATATCTTTTTAGGCCCAACTGTCCCAGGCCTTAAATGGGGTTTCCGATAAGGCGAAAGAAGCAAAGGAGTTTCTGGTCCAGCTGAAGAACATCCTGCAGCAGATCCAGGTGAGGAGAGCGCCAGCCCCGGGAGGGCAGTTAGTGTAGGAAGCAGACGAGAAGTGGCAAGAGGGAAGGGACAGTCCTGTGGCGAGCATTTTGTAGAAGGTTTAATTGTCGGGGCGCCTGGGTGGCTCAGTCGTTAACCGTCTGCCTTCGGCTCAGGTCATGA